CATGTACACTCACTGAAGCAAGAGCAATTGCATTAGCCTGTGAATTACTGGCATAGATTGTTGAATCTTTCCTGTTTTATGTTACCTGACTCAGTCAGCAGACCTCCAGTCTATAAAAATCTGTGGTACTTTTTTTTTTTTACTTCTGTGTTCAAATGTGAAATTCTTGAACACCTCCACAAATAAAACATCAAATTTTAAACACCACAATTGTAATTTGGACTTTTGTTCCTTATTTGGTGGGTGCCAAATATTTTTAATGGAAATTCCCAGAAGGCACATAACATAACAACATATTGCGGACATATATCTGTTCAGCAATACACTGCAGCAACATCTGCTTCACCAGTGCTTTTTCTCTGTCTGCACTTTCCAAGTAGGGAGGCATTACATAGCATGGACATCATGTTCCTACTAAAAAGATCAGCATCAGCATAGCTTGCCGCCACTGTAGTGACTTCCTACTGCTCTCTATGTCATGTTCATAAGCCACACACTAACCTTCCTTGCATCTCATCCAAACTGGGGTCTGATGTTCTAGAAAAAGAATTCAAGTTTGAAGAAGTTCATGTTGGTCTGTATTACTGTACACTTACTGAGTCACTTTTCAAAATTTTTATCTTGGATGTTCGAAACTCTGGAATATCTATGAAATATTTGTTGTCCATGAGGCTGTGAGTGGATCTTTCTTTCCACTCTTCTCCATACAGCGCTGATAACTTTCCGTCAGGATCAAGTAAATCATCATTACCACCATCATCATCATCGTTGTCGTCATTGTCTTCAAGAGCCTGTTTTAGTGACTGCACCTCATCTTCCCAATCCTAAAAAAAACAAATAAAATGGCATCTTAATTTTAGTTGTTTTTGGAGCTACATTGTAACACATTACTTCAAGAATCACCATATTCATATTTCATTCTACCTCTTTTGTAATGAACTCGATGTGTGCCTCATACTTTGATCCATTGGTAGCCTCCACCTTTATCATCACTGAGGTACATGCACTGACACTTCCAGAAGGCAACAGGCCCTCCTTATTTATGATGGCATTGATTAAAGAGCTCTTTCCAGCCCCAGTTTTACCAAAGACACCAACCAGGTGTCTCCTTTCTGTCTCTAAATTCTTGATTTTATCTCTGTTGAAAGAGTTTAAATATGGATGAACTGACCCATTCTCAGAGACAAACTGAAAATGTGGCGAAATCAGAAAGATTTGATTTTGAAAAACTTACTTAGAATGTTTAGATTTGATATTTTTAATGCGTCTCTAAATAGACTACATATGTGTAAAACATGACCAATTAATTAGTGCTATTGATCACCTCTGAAAAGTGAGACTATGGTTTCTGGAACAATTCACCTTAATACTGGAATGAGCTGAATCACAGCTCCATGTCGAGCTCTGACAGAGTTCAAATCTTTAGTATGTTTATTAAACCATATTACAGCAAAATGTTCCTCCAACTGTTTCTTTTTGGTACCACTTACTTTCTAGCTTCTTTTAAAAAACCCTTCCAAACCTTTTTGAGACATGCTGACATCAAATACAAAATGCTCTATTTTTTTTCTTAAAATGGTGCATTTTCTCAGCTTAAGAATTTGATATATTTTTGTGTTTTATTGTCAATACAATATCAAAGTAAGAGATTTCATAAATGGTGTTTTTATTTTCACTTTACAGACTGTCCCAACTTTCTTGGAATTGGTTGGAACATAATAAAATAGGGAATCTTTATTACTTACTTTAGGAAAGCACTGAGCTTGTCACGGCCATGTAGTCCTTCACTGACACATCTCATTATGTTTTTGACATCAGACAGTATTTCTGTTTCTTTCAGAGTAAAAAAACAAAACAAAACAACAACAAAAACCCAAAAACTAATAACTAGGAACCAGGAACCAGTGTAATGCAAAATGTGGCCCACTGATATGCAAAGCAGGAAAAATTGTGAGAATTTTTGAAGTTCATACTATAGCTATTATATTGCAAAAAAATGCACATTAGAATTTTTCATTATTTATACATGTACCTGACTGTGATCTTGCTGCACAGTTGTATTGTTTTTTAAGAGGTGGTTGCCATTTTCTGGTCTCACTCTGAAGATGATCTGACTTTCTCTTTCCTTTTTGGATTTAGAAAAAGAAAATAATTTCTCTCAAGATTGTAACTTCTGATAACACACGTAAACATTTTTTTTAATCATCAGAAACCACAACACACTTTTCTAAACCAGATTTTTCATTCCAATTTCAAATCTGCTTTCACTTTTTTTCCATCACATCAACTTTTTGAATTATGAGTAATACTACTTTGCAATGGACTTGCATGCAGTTTTTATTAAACTTAAAAAGTTTCGCCAGCACTGCGCCAGGGGATCCAATTGGTTATCCGCCAAGACACTGGATGATCCTCGACCCAAATTAGGGCCATTACTGGTGCCGACTGCAGCCCGATAACCATCAGACGGCATCTGAGACTGAAGGGCTTCAAAAACAAAAAATGTCTTCAAAGGCCTCGTCTCTCTGAACGCCACAGAACTGACAGTTTGGACCTCATGCTCAAAAAAAGTTTTTTAAATTTTCTTTATTTTTTTTATTCCCATTTCTTCTTGTTGCATGTTGAAGCTCTACTTGGAACCTTGTTAAAATCCAAACCATGCAAAATGGGATTTTTTTCGCCATTTCTCAAGTGATCTTAAGCTTTTTATCAGGTGTGTACGATTTCCTTCAGTGTACAATTTGAATATCTTCTTAAGGTCTGTGGTAAGAGGGCGACATTGTGCTTTTGTCGTGAATAAATCACACATGTAACCGAAATTGTCTAGATGATTAATACAATTTCTAGGCATGGTAACAAGTGAAATCAATTGCTATTAATGCCGTCTGTAACATAAAACACAGGGAACTGTTGTTAAATCTGGTAACATGCTTAGGCTAATTATAAGAACTATCATGTAATATATAACTAGCTTCACCATAAAAACAGAAAAAACTTAACACAGATTTGAAATCACCATTAAAAATATTACAAAACTTATATCTGATGATTTTTACCTGTATAATGGAGTTTAAATGCTGCAAAAGTACTACTGTAAAAATAAATAAATTAGATGTAATAAAATGAGAATGACAGACATTTTTCTCACCTCTTTCACTTATGGATGGAAAATCCTGAGGATGAATAGAAATATCTGACTTTTATATTTGAAATTAAACTACTATAGTTGTACATGTATGCATAATTGAATGTATACAGGCAATTATAGCACCTGTATAAAAACACATTGTTCTTTAACAAACTTAAAAAAAAAATTTAAAAAAAACTTTCACATGCACTTTTTACAGTGTGCAAAACATGCACAAATAAATATATGGACTTACGTTCTCCATTAGTACAACAATGAAAAAATGGAAAGCTTTCATTTTCTTGCCTCTCAACAAACAAGATCCCATGAGTTAATATTTCTGCCTCATTCAGCACCAGTGACACAGACCTAGAGACCAGTTGGTAACCCCCTGTCCCTGGCAACCACCAGCTGCTAGGGTAAAATGTGTACACAAACATCAGCCAGTTGCATCAGTTTAGTGATGGGGTTGTAACGTGTTAACGGGTGGGGTTGTAAGGATTTTAGGTTGCCAACTGGTCTCTTGGCTTGTGTGACTGAGGCTTTACTTTGACTCAGGTCACCTTAGTTTATATGCATGACAAATGAAGGCATGCTGGTTCATTATCTGAAATTCAATAATCCTTAGCTGATCCAAATCAGCTGTTTCTTTAGGCTCTTGTTTGCAGAGCAGGCAAAGCTATGTGCAAATCAATGTAAAATGTTTACTTTAAAAATGTAAGTTACAGTACAGATACTGAAAGAAGTGCCATGAAACTGTTTTTGACTTACTTGACCAGAAGTATTGACTGCTTCTTTTTGTGGTTGGGTTGTATTTTGCTCTTCCTAACATAATGAAAACATTGCAAATCCATATTGGCAAAAAATGAAAGAACTTTTGTGAATAATATCATAGACACACTGATAGTTAAGTAGTTTGTGCACCATAATTATTCTACAACAAATTCATCTGTAAACTTTAACATGAGTGTGGTTTTTCAGACAAAAAGGAAATAAATCTTAAAGCCTTTAATTACCTTTAACATCTTTAGTTTTTCCTTGAATTTTACTCTAGGTCCAGCTTTTGTGATCAATTGATCAATTTCCTGATCATTGAGATGATACAGACTTTCCTCATCAATTTCTTGAGCTGTAATAAAGTTAAATAGCAGAAATAACGATTATTTATAAAATTACTTCAGAAACACTTTTTTAAAGGAGTTCTGCATTGATGTATGATTTGAACACATTTAATTCCCTTTTATTTTAAGCAACTATCACTTTCCAGTCTTAGGACATTTTCTCTTGCTTACACATTTTGTGTAGTAAATATGAAAACCGCAAATGCTTTTCTACTCTAAGCATAGACGACATTCAAAACTGATTATGCTATAGTACAGAGAAGCATTAAATGTGTATTAATAGGTATTATTTTTCAGAGTTAACAAAACGTATAAGTATCAATATCTGTAGCCATCACTGATGCACAGTAATAATTTACCTTCAAATGCATCAATCCAGTCACTTAGTTTCCATTCAGTCAGTTTGTTTCGCACAAAATCATCCATGACCAAGAATAGAAACTGAAAGATAAATTTTAATTGCTGATCCTGTCGAGGTGAACGAGCGGACTCTAGCACAGAACTAAGGTTTCAATTAAAGAGAGTTTATTTACAGTGACACCAGGCGCTATAAACAACAGTGCAGGGCAATTAGTGCTCCCGGGAATCCAGGGGAAAATGAACACGTCCAAAACTCCTCTTCTCAATCGCCAGTCCCTCACGCGTCCTCTTTTGTACGATACACGACGTCCACATACGAATATCCTAACTCACGAAAAAGACAAGGGAAAATAGGGAAGCGTCCAGTAGGGTCTGTACACGGGAAGAGACCACAAGTTAGACATCCACAGAAACACGAGCGCCACGATCCAGCGACAAGTAACACAAAGCCGCCGCCCTGCGCATCAGGTGAGTGGAATGATTGCAGGTGCGTAGGCCAAGAGCGTGGACCAATGACTGTAGAAAATGTGGGCGACCTGACAGTCCCCCGTTATGCTGGCTGCATTGTAGATCATAAACCCCGCCTCCTCCGTGTTAACGGATGGCACTGGGGTCAGACAGACTAAAATGAAAGCCTTCTCCTCAGAAACCTTTT